CTGCGTCGGTGCAGCTCGCGGCGCGGCGATGGCGAAGGCGGTCGAGCAGTTTGCCGTGGGGGGGCGCCGACGCGGAGGTTCCCGGGGTGTTGCGCTGGGCGCCGCGGAAGATATCAGTAGAAGCTGGCGTCTATGATGGCGAGAATTGGCAGCCGGCGGAGGGGTGTCCCGGATGTGAGTATGCAGCTGCGTGTCATCATGGGCGGGGGCGCCCGCCCATTCGCTTCGAGGTCCGCCGGCAACGCCGATCCGAATGCGGGAATGCGATGGCGTCGTAGTCGGATCAGTCGCCGCAGGTCTTTGTGGTCCCCGTTCCAAGTCAAGCCGCTGATGCTGGGCCATCTCAGCCAAGAGGAGTTCCACCGCGGGGCCCCGCGACGCAAGTGCGGCGCCCTGTGCAGCGGCTCCTGCGCGGCGAGCAGGGTGTTTCGCGCGACTTTCCAATGGCGTCACGTCAAACGACAAGTCGAGCAGGCGGAGCAGATCTCGGGCAGGGGGGCACTGGATGCGTCGCTGGTGCGATCGAGGTGTTGGGCGAGTCCGAGCTGAAGGAGCTGGCGGCGGGCTTCAGCGACCAGGAGATGCTGCGGCTCATCGGTGAGATCGGCATGGGGGCCGAGGAGAACGGCGCGCTCGCGCTCGTCGCGGGGCGGGCGCCCGAGTGCGATTGGGGGGCGAAGCAGATCGAGATGGGCAAGTTCGACATCCACGGCGTCTGGAAACTTCAGATCGGGGGTCTGAGGGGGCCCGGCGCGCTCGCGTGGAAGTGGGTGCTGGGGCAGCGAAGGGGAGAGCGTAAGGCGAGATCAGGTTCGCGTGCTCTCGGCAAGGAGATGACGAAGAGTAAGAATGCGGTCTATTGCCCGACGCCTCTTTCACTCTCGCTGAATATCTCGACTGTCTAAGCAGTGGTCAAGAAACTCGCGCATTTCTTCTCCGGCATGCTTGGGGCGCCCCCTTGCGCCCCGATCCGCGAGCGCGTCTATGCTGGGGTGCCGGAAGAGTGCGTGCGCCTGCGCGACGACTCGGACTGGGCGCGCAAGCTCCGCGGGACGGTGCGCGGCCTCAACGAGGCGATGTTGGATTCCATTTCGAATTTCGAGAATGGCGCTGCAGGGCGGAACGAGGGTTCTCCGATGCAGTCCGGGAGGTTCTTATCGGACCCGTGTGCATTCGTCGACATGCAAAAGTGGCAGCGTCCAAGCGCGCGGGCGACAGTGCGTTGGTCGGCCCGCGGGAGTTGGCGCAGAGTCTTCTGAAGGAGCTAGAGAAGTATTTCTGCTAGAAGATCTCAGAGTTGGTTATTGGGGGGGTCGGGGGTCCAGCGCGGCCGGGCGCGCGTGAGCCCGCCGTCGTGAAGCGCCTTCTTGTTGACGACCCAGACGACGAGGGGGCGAGCCCAATGCCAGGAGCGAAGGCCGAGAAGGCAGTTGAGCGCGGGGGGACTTGGATTCGAAGGTGGCCACGATGTTTCGAGCGGCACATGGTCTCGATCTGTTTGTTTGCCTTTGGCGTCCTTAGTGCCGGCGCGCAGCCAGGGGGCGGTCGCTGTCGCGCGGCGCGCCCGTGGAGCGAGGACTTGGCATCGCAGGGCGTGCTGGTTCAAACTGGGCCGATGGCCTGATTTGACGCAAGTCTGCCAGTAGTGGCAGATGGTGCAGTTCGTGGAGACCCAGGGCGCTTCTGCTCAATCGCAGCCAGTGGCCGAGGACAATGCGGCTGTTCACTTCGGATTCGAGGCGAGGGGGGCTTAGACCTGGCTCGAGGAGCTGCTGGACTATGCGGTCCAAGTTATTCTGGAGAGCGACAAGAGCAGTGCTCTCACCAACGTTGAGAAGAAACGAGCCGGACTCATCCGACGCCTCGAGTTGAAGGATCTGCGGCTTAAGGACCTGGTCGCCAGGAAGGGGGGGTTCAAGGTCAGCGCGATGAAGATCCTTTCCGACATCGGCACAGCGGACATCGGCACCATGTACTTGACCAGAGTTGATTTCAGACGACTACTGGAGATCATGTGAGTTAAGCTGGGAGGACAATCAGAAGTTGGTGCAACACCAGGCCGAGAAGTAGTTGTTGAGCGTTCTATAGGCAGCCGTTTTGGCTATGGCCTCTACAGCATCGTGATCATGGTGGTGAACGCCTTCCTTGATATACGATGGGATAGAATGAGGCAAGCGCGTGATGTAAATGGGTTGTTGGGAAGGTGGGGAGGGCCAGCAGATATGTGTACTGTGATTGAGCCGTTCTGGCCCGTGAGTTGCACGGTGAGGAAAACAAGCTGTTTACACCCCGGTTGGGGAACATGTCCGTGGGACCCAGCTCCGCTTGGCAATCTCCATATATGCACAAAACTATATATACATAGACATAGACGTATATCCACCACTTTCTCTGTTTCGCTGGTTCTCGCTCTCTCCCTTCTGCATTTCTCTTTTCACATTCCCCGTATCCCTACCTGGCCGTCGTCTCTCTCTCTCTCTGTCTGTCTCTCACACGTATACATTTGTATTCCATATCTATATACAGTATGTATGTAAAAATCATTGGGTCCCTCTCTCTTTTTCTCTGTCTGTCTCTCTCTCGCTCTGTGCCTCTGTCTCGCTCGCTCGCTCTTTCTTTCCCCTTGTCTTTCTCCCTCCATGCCTATCCTCCTATTGCTCCTTCACGGCAAGAATTTGCACGGCGGCCTGTTGTGCGCCCGAGTGCACGTAATCGGGTCTGGGCGAGGCAGAGATCATGCGATTCGCCCGGAGCTCCTTGCATTGGCCGAACCGTGCACGAAACGGTGCCCGCGAGACCATCGACCAGGATTGCTGGCATGCATGGGTGAAACATCGCGGCGGTGTTTTCCACGTGGCCCGTCGTTTTGTCACTCATCGAGACCCTCGTCTTTTTTTCCCTCCCCCCAATTCCCCCCTCTCCTTTCCCCCCCCCATCACCCAACCCACCCTCTCTTGTCTCTCTCCCCGTCATCACCCGTCCCTCACCGCCCCCCAAACCACCCCAACCCAACCCGACGGCCCCGATTTGCCTTCCATTTCCAGTGGGGGGGCGGTTGGGGAATATCAGACAGCGTTGACTCCAAATAGACGGGAGGACAGGAGGAGGACCAGAGGAGGATGGGAGGAGGACGAAAGGAGGACGGGAACAGGACGGGAACAGGACGGGAGGAGCAACACCAAGCAAGCGCAAGCAAGCAAGCGGAAGCAAGCAAGCGCAAGCGAGCAATATCAAGCAAGCAAGAGCTTGCGATCAAGTGCAAGCAAGCAAGGACAAATAAGAGCAAGCAAGTGATAGCAAGCACGCAAGAGCAAGCAAGCAAGAACACGCAAGAGCAAGCAAGGGCAAGCGACTCACAGGAATCCATAGGAATCCATCGGATTCTGGGGGGCGCCATTGGAAATAAGGGGGGGTGCCATTTGCAAAAGTGGGGGGGAGGGGGGTGCCATTGGAAATAAGGGGGGGTACCATTGGAAAAAGGGGGGGGGTGCTAAAGACCAATTGCGTACGATTATCCAGGTCTCCTATAGGGCAAGCCCATTTGGAGAACATTGAAAAAACACATCTGAAACCCGTACCCCCCCAACCCGACATTTGGGTCTTCGGGTTGGGTTGGGGTGGTCTGGTAGGTTGTCAGTCTCGCTCCCCCGTCCCCCATCCCGCCCGCTCATCCTAATCTCCCCCACTTCCCCTGTCTCCCCATTCTCACCCATCCTCCCCTTGCCCTCCTGGGCTTCCGTCCGCCGTCCTCCGCATTGCTGCCTCCTCTCTGGCCCCCCTTGGCCCGGTCCCCCTCCCGCCCGTTCCCTTCCACCTCGCTCTGCCGCCTTTCCCGTCCCCATCCCTCCTCTCGGCCTTCGCCGACGGATGAGGAGGAGGATCGCTGACCACCTGTGCTGCTCCGGTGATCAGGGCGGCTGCGGCCAGGGGCAGCAGCGCATGTCAGCATGGGGCAGAACGAGCAGGACCAAGACGGAGATTTGCATTATGTTTTCGGTTCTTGAGTGTCTTCCAGCATAGGGCCCAGATCTCCTCGAGCGGCCGCTGGAGACTTGAGTTATGGCCCGAAAACTTGCCATTCAACGCCAAGAAACAAAATGCAAGGCGGTGTTTGTTTCACAGTTTTCAGCCTCCATGGCTTGTTTTCGGGCCCCGGGGCTGTCAAAAGGGATTCGGGATGAGAAGTCCGCCTCAGACTTCAGGGGACCTCGTAGACCAATTCAAGTCATCCGTTGTCTTGGTCTTGGTGTCGCCAGGGATCCTCGATCTCGGATCGCAGCGAGAGGCCGCCTGGCTTCTTCGTGGGGGGCCCTCAAAGATCGGCCTTCAGACTGGTCCAGGGCTGCGTTGTGGCCAGAACTTCGAGGCGGATTCAGTTGCCCCAAAAACGTCCCCAAACCCAGACCTCGATGATCCTGTGGCTCACGTGCAGGTTTGCTTCAAACTTGGTTCCAGATATCTCCCCGCATTGTTCTCAGCTCCGCACCGATGGCAGCAGTCAGCAACACCAACACTAATCAGTCGGCTGCCGCACAGAGGGCTTGGGATGAGGAGGGTCACGGCCATGTCCATAACGGCCGCTCTGTGCTGAACGTGTCTTCCGCCAGGTTCCGAGTGGCCCAGAAGAAGAAAAGGGGGTCCGTAGCCATTTTGGCTCAAGCCGGGCTCAAGCCCCTGGGTTTTCGCGCGCCTCGTTCTGCTTGAGAAGCATGGCGCGGGAGGACGGGGGCGTTGCCCGTCCCAGGCGCTCGCCTGGCGAGCGCAAAGCTGCTCGCGACTGGGCCTGGCACCCCGCGGATCGGGCCTGAGCAAAAACTTTCCGAAGAGCTGGCTCGCGCCAGGTCGCCAGGTCGGAGCTGTACGCCGCCGTCGAGGCGCTGGAGGGGCTGCTGGGGGGCGCCGAGGTCGCGGGGCGTGTGCGCGCCATCCTCCATGCGCTCACGGCGCTGCTCGAGGGGCGCTCTCCTGGTTGGCTTGCCAGGCTGCGGAGGAACGTCGCCATGCACTCGGGCGCCGGCTGCGTCGAGGTGGCGACGGCTGGAGAGGCCGTGCTGCGACGGGCTCAGAGGGCCCCCCGGCAGGAGGCACGGCTGGAGGCAGAGCCGTGCTCGGTGGTGGAGGGCGCGTCTCTCTCTCTCTCTCGTTCTCTCTCTGCCGACGCCGTTCCTTCTCGTGCCCGCGCCCCATTGCGTGCCGGGCGAATGGGGTGCTTTGCCGAGCCAGCTTTTCTGTGGCATCGAGGTGCAGACGTTCGCGCTGGACTCCGAGCTCTCTCGGCCGAGGTGATGGCGGCGCCGTGCGCCGCGCAGCTCACGGCGAAGCTGCCCAACCAGGAGGAGAGGGACATCGACCAGAAGGTGTCGCAGCCAGTGTTGATGGAGCAGTCGCAGATCTCGGAACCCTTTGACGGCGGGTTGGAGGTCTCGGAGGCGGATGAAGCAGAGCGTGGTCGAGTTGATGCGGATGAAGGTTCGGCGTTGCCGACACCTGCGGCCGTGCCGTGGGTGCCTTGCGGCCTGCCTCTGGGCCCTGGTGAAAGGCGCCTCTTCAGCCCCATGTTCGCCAGCCACGAACTGCCCGCCGCCGTCGGCCAGATGCTGGGCTCGGATGCTGGGCTCCTCTGCGCTTCCGAGGACGATGGCGATGACCCGCCCGACGCCTTCGGTTTGGGAGGCTTCCGATCCTGAGTTCATGTTTACTTCAGTGTGTTGCAACTTCGCGGTCGGTCTAAATTCGCATCTAGCCGTGGCACTGTAGTTTGCCATTTGGTTCCTTGGCAGGGTTGTGCGTTTGTGTGTATCGTCGACGTTGCCGCGCTTGGTCTGACGTGAATGCGAATCGCTTGTGCTTCCGTCGGAGGTGTTTCCCACCGCCAGATTTCAAGACACCTGCAGGTCCCTCGCCGCTGGTGTGAGTTCGTTGGAGGTGAATACGTTGAGTTCCAATTATCCCAATGCGACCCCGCCTGGGAGTTTGGAGCATCTAGGACATCAGCATCTACAACTACACCGACAGCTACATTTACATCTACACTTGCATCTACATCTGCATCAACATCAACATCAACAGCGAGACTCACATCTACATCTACATATACACCTACATCTACATCTATGCTATGCTGCGCCATGCTATGCTATGATATGCTAGGATGCGCTATGATTTGCTATGCTATGATATGCTGTGCTATACTATGCTATGATAAGCTATGCTATGATATGCCGTGCTGCGCGATGCTAGGCTATGCTATGTTATGCTATGGTGCGCTATGCTGTGCTATGATGCGCTGTGTTTTGCTAGCACTGCTCTGCTATGCTATGCTATGTTATGCTGCGCTATGCCATGCTATGCTATGCTAGGATATGCTATGTTATGCTGAGCTATGCTATGCTATGCTGTGCTATGCTGTGCTATGCTATACTATGCTGTGCGATGCTATGCTTGGCTATGCAATGCTATATTTTGCTGTGCCAATGCTGCGCTGCGCTATGACGCGCTGCGCTAAACTAAACTAAAGTAAGCTAAGCTATGCTACGCTAAGCAAAGCCAAAACTACGCTAGGCTAGGCTAGGCTAGGCCAACCGAAACTAAACTAAACTAAGCTAAGCCAAGTTAAGCTAAGCTAAGCTAAGCCAAGCTAAGCTAAGCTAGTCTAGCGTGAGATAAGCTAAGATACGCTAAGCTACGCTAGGCTAAACTATGCTAGGCGAGGCTAGGCTAGGCACATCTAAGCTAAGCATAGCTAAGCTAAGTTAGTATGATATAAGCTAAGCTAAGCTTAGCTAAGCTGGGTGAGCCCAGGGGGCGCAACTGGGGGAACCGCGTGGCGGGGCCCGGGGGAACCGCCTGGGGCGAAGCCCACTGCCCGGCCCCTTTAAGCCCAGCGAGTAGAACCCTTTAGGCAGAGCCTAGGTAGGGAACAAGAAGAAAAATTGTAAGAACTCTTCAATGACACGGGTGCGGGGTCCTGTGCTGACAACGAGGTGGGAAGCGAGTTCGTCGATGGACTGTCGCGTGAGGCCAGCGCCTTCCAAGAAACAGTTTTCTTTTAAGATGATGTCACCCTCCTACCCTCTTGCGCGCGCCGCTAAGACATGCGATGTCTTGATTTTTTACTGCGCGGGCTCCCCAGAAGTCCCGACCCTTTCCCCGGGGCTGGCATTCCAGCTTGTGTAGTTTTTGGCAGTCCCGGGGCCTGGCGAGGGCGCCCAGAGGCCGAAAGCGGCCAACAATATTTGTCTTCGGCGTCAGCCATTGGGAATTGGTTCCCTCCTGGGTTTCGCGCCGGCTCTCATGTTGTGATCTAGATTGCGGGGATTGGTTCCCCCATGGGTCCAGTGCCAGCTCTTATGGTGTGACCTAGATTTGGCAAGTGGTTCCCTCCTGGGTCCCGCGCCAGGTCTTATGCTGTGACCCATACTTCTACTGTGTGTGCGTCGCCCCCCCCCCAAAGGCGTCGCGCGCGCTCGCATCTTTTCAGTACTTGCTCCGTGGCGGGTGCTTCTGGCCATACTGCCTGGTGCCTGGGTATCGATGTGCTATATTCTATGTACAATATGTTCGTTTCGGACGTGCGCTTTCAAGAGGGGGCACGTAATACTCGCATGTCCTTGTGCGTCCCATGTATCTGCTTCTCACGCCGCGATCATGTGTGTCTCTACTCCTGGGCGTGCGGTGGCGGCAAGCCGCCGCGGTCCAGCCCGGGTGCCCGCGCGCCCAGGCGCGGCGTGGTCGCCGTGGTTCGCTTCTATGCGCGCCCGGGGGGGGGGGTGCGGGGAGGGGGCGGGCGCGGGCTGTCGGGGGAAGGAGATGCGACACCACCCCCGTTACAACCATGAGGGGGGCTACCTCCAGCGAGTGGATCCATGATGCCTCCCGGAGCTGGGGATGTGGCACGTTCAGGTAGCAAGTCGGTTGAGCCAGGATTTGGCATGTTCAGGTAGCATATCGGTTGAGCCTTGTATGTTTTCGTTATACCGTAAAATGCACTGGCGTGCGCTAGCGCCTGGTAGTCGATGATGAAGCTCATATGTATCGTCGATTTGCGTAGATTAGCGTCGGTTCGCAAGAACCAGCAAGATGGCATGGGAGGCTCCCGTGAGTTGCCACCGAGGGATGTCTCGAGTGAGAGGGGGGACCAACCACACCACCACACCACAAGGAGAACCGTCCCTGGTGCCTCGCGGTGGTAGTGGTGGTGTCGCCCTTCCTTGTTCCTAGGGCTGACGGGGCAGGAGCACGGGAGGCGGCCTCGTCGTCGTCGCCGCCGTCGCCGTCGCCGTGGTCGTCGGCGTCGGCGTCGGCGTCGGCGTCGGCATCGGCGGCGGCATCGGCGTCGGCGCCGGTGTTGGTGTCGGCGTCGTCGTCGGCGTCGGCGTCTTGCTCAGGCCTTTAGGGCCGGTTCCGCCGACCCTGGGAGGAGAGAGTAGCCCAGGCACAGGAGGCGGACGGGCGACAATGGGCGAGGGGTAGTGGCTGCTTGCGCGCGAAGGTCGCCGCTGGGCGTGGGGCGCGGGCCAGCGGCGGCGGCCTCATTTCGGTGGTGGGGGCTCGTCTTCGAGGCGGCGGTTCATCCGTAGCCACCGCCTGGGGGATCGACCTTCGGGGATCTCGGCAGGCGGTCTGAGTGTCTCCGTGGCGCCCCTGGGGTGCCTTCGCCGGGCCCCAGGGCCGTCGACAGGCCATTGGCTCGGGACGGGAACGTGCCGCTGGCCATGACTTGCGTGCCCCCCCCCCCCGTCTTGGACGCCCTCGACGTCTGCCCAAATCAAGACTCCCTCGGGGCCTTTTTTGGGGCGTTGCTGAAAGTGCCCCGGCCCAAGTTGCACCCAGCTTTTCGCTTCATTTTGGAGCTCCTGGGGCCCTCTGGGCCTCGTGAGGGGTGCTCTGGAGTTCTGGGGGCATCTTGGGTCAGGGGCACTTCTAGCAACACCCGACTTTTCCCTTTCGGACGTTTTCCGATCTTCTGCGGGGTTCTGGTGGGTATGTGGAGAGGCTTCTCGGGGGACTCAGCCGAGGACCAAAGACATGCACAGACGTATGCCAACGTTGGGAGGGCCGCGCGGATGTTCTGGGTCGGTACCCGACGCACCCGCCCACCGGCGGCGCCTCCAAGAAATTCAGGCGGACCTCCGAAAGTTTATGCTTAGTTATACAGTTCGGTGTTCTGTTCAGGGGTTCCACCCCCTCGCTCTTCTGGGCTCACTCCTTTCCCCTCCTTCCTTCTCTCCCTTTCTTCCTCCTCATCCTCCTCGTCCCGTCCTCCTTCCCTCGTCCTCTTTCTCCCCGCCCTCTTCCTCTTCATCCATTTCCTCCTCAGACATCTCCTCCTAGCCCCCAACTCCTCCGCTACCTCCTCCTCCTCGATCCTCCTCCTCCTTCTTCTCATCCTCATTATCATCCTCATCCTCATCCTCCTCATCCTCATCCTCATCCTCATCCTCATCCTCATCCTCATCCGCTCCCTCCCTCCCCCCCCTCCCTACCACCCTCCCACCCTGCCTCCCTCCCTCCCTCCTCTCCCTCCCTCCCTCCCATCCTCCTCTCCCTCCCTCCTCCCTCCCTCCCTCCCTCCCTTCCTCTCTCCCTCTCCCGCGAGGCGCGAGGGGTGGCTTTCGGGGCATAACTTTAGCCTCCGGCGGTCGTTTGGGACGATCCCGGTACCCCTGGAACGCTGTCGGCGAGGCGCAGCTGCCGGAGAGCACCCTGAGGCTGGAAGGCCTCCAGGAACTTACGAAACTCGACAACACTCGAACCTCGAAGCCCCTTTCCTCCCCCTCCTCCTCCTCCTCCTCCTCCTCCTCCTCCTCCTCCTCCTCCTCCTCCTCCTCCTCCTCCTCCTCCCCCTTTTCCTCGATTCTCCTCCTCGATGCTCCTCCTCCTCCTCGGCGGCGGCGGCGCGCGGCAGCGGCCTCGGCGGCGGTCGGCCTGCCGGCCTGCCCGCGAGGGGTGGTGCCAGGTGCAGGGCCTCCCGTGGGCCAAGCGGGCGAAGTGGCTGCAGCCTCTGCTGTGGTCGGCCGCGCGAGGGGCGTGGCGGTTGCCAGGGGCAGCGTTGGTCGGAGGAGGAAGCTGTACCGATACCCCTTGCCCTTCTCTCGTTTGCGTCCTCTCGGGCCTCCTGGGAGGCCCTCTTCGCCGCGGCCGGATTCGCCTCGAGGTTCTGGTCTGAGCGCACCCTGGAAGAGGTCCGGGGAGTGGCGGTATGGGTAGCTTTAGGTTTCCCAGTTAGGGGGGACAGAGGCCCAGGTTCGAGGTGGGAGGTTTTCGGGCGTTTTGGTTGGTTTCCCGCGGCTTCTCCAGCCTCGGGATGCCTTCCAGCGGCTGCGCCTCGACGAGATCGTTCTGGGGCTGCTCGGATCGTCCCGAACGGTCGCCGGAGAGCCGAGTCGTGGCTCGAAAACCAGGGGCAACGTTAGCGGGGATAGGCTCAGGGGGGAATGCATCGACCCCCAGTCGCCGCGGGTCGCCGATAAAGGACCGATCGCCCGCCCCGCCCAGTAAGGTGCGGATTCGCTATCCAGGGTCTACCGCCGATCTATCGGCGATGTATCGCCGATTTCAGCTCGATGTTCCCCCCCTGAGCCGGTCCCCCTAACGTTGCCTCTCAGGGTGGTGGTGCTGGTGGTGGTCGTCGTCCCCCAGAAATCCTCGCGTCCTGATCCTGATCAGGCCCTGCCCTTCCTCCTTCGCGTTCGAGGTCTTCGGATCTTTTTCTCAGTTCTTCGAAGTTTTCCAGCCTCGGGGTGCTTCCCTGCAGCTGCGCCTCGCCGAGAGCGTTCCAAGTGTCGGAATCGTCCGAAACGGGCACCAGAGACCCGAGTTATTACCCCGTTCGCGTCGTGGGACAAAAACATGTGACGGAAGGTTTTTGACCATTTTCGCCCGCTGGGGCCATGCATTGGGCCCTGGGGCCGACAGAAACGGCTCGGGATGAGAAGCCAATCACCGGGAAGGGCTCCAGACCTCTGGGGAGCCACGTTGCGAACAAATTACGATTTTGGATGTTTGGGACTGGTAGGAGGAGGAGGAGGAGGAGGAGGAGGAGGAGGAGGAGGAGGAGGAGGAGGAGGAGGAGGAGGAGGAGGAGGAGGAGGAGGAGGAGGAGCAGGAGCAGGAGCAGGATCAGGAGCTGGAGCAGGAGCAGGAGCAGGAGCAGGAGGAGGATAATTCAGGACCAGCGATGTTGCAATAAACCCTTCCTCCAAGCTCTCTGTTCATAGACCCCTGCGTTGATTCATTCTCACTGAAGGAAGTGCCCCGTTGTAAAATAACCGTTTGAAAGTCCTGAACTAAGCCAGAATTGCATCCCTGGGACTTCATTGCCGCGAATCACGGTTACTCTTGCGTCGTGTCGATCCTTAATCGTTCTTGAACACCACTCCTGGGACGTCAAAACCACGAATCAACGTAACTGTTTCGCCCTAACAGTCCGACATCGTGCAAAACAAGCATAATTTTTAGGACGTGGACCATGCGAATCCTTCAAACTGGAACCGCCCTCCATTAGTGAGACTTTCTGTAATTTTTGATGACGAATGTGCGCGGCGCTAAGGCGAGAACCACATTTTGAAAAGGAGCCGCCCTCCATGCGTGAAGTTGTTTCATCTCTTATCCTTTTTGCGCGGCGCTAAGGCAAGAGCCACATTTTGCAAATGGCCCTCTCTATCAGTGGATTCTTGCACTTTTCAATGACGAATGTGCACGGCGCTAAGGCGACAGCCACATTCTGAAAGCGATCCGCTCGCCATCCGTGAAACTCTTTGCACATTTTTAAGGCGGATGCGCGCGGTGCTAAGGCGAGAGCTAGATTTTGAAAACCATTGTAATGAATTAGTGAAGCTCTTGCAATTTTTGAAAACGGATGTGCGCGTAACTAAGGCGAACGCCACATTTTGAAAGCGACACGCCCTACGGCTCATCAATGGTGCGGAAGTCTCAGGCGAAACGCCCAGCCGCCCTTCCGACTGGCCTCGGGGTGCGACAGGGAGGAGTTATTCATAAGGAAAAGGAATGAAAGAAGAGGTTGAGTAGGAAGAGGAGGAGGAGGAGGAGGAGGAGGAGGAGGAGGAGGAGGAGAAGGAGGAGGAGGAGGATGAGAAGTAGGAGGAGGAGGAGGAGGAGGAGGAGGAGGAGGAGGAGAGGGAGGATGATCGAGGATGAGGGGAATCGAGGAAGAG